AGAAAGTTCTGGAAGAGGATTGCAAAGTACAACTAGTCTAACCCACTGCAATATCCAGAAAACCAATTAACCATCCATGAGAGAGTCATCTTAAAAGCCTCCAGAAATAAAGAACCCACATGCTCCATAGATTGACTATATATGTGTGTGTGTGTGTGTGTGTTAAAATCAATAAATAGTCGATCACCAAGAGAATAAAAAATATAAAAATATAAAAAAATTATTTACTGAACCTAGCTTTCGTCAAGAGCTCTTGACATCATCAGGGTGTAAACGGTAGTCATTGGGAAAGCTTATATGCAACCGCTAATCATTTGCACTTGGCTCATGGACCGTGTCATGGGTCCCAGCTGAGCGCGCTGTAATCTGAGTGCATGTCTTGCATCAGGGTATAGTTCTTTCTCACTCCTTCTCTGTGCTCCATCGTGCATATCTCCTTCGCTAATCTTAGGGTTGGCTGGAGTACTTTCACTTCCATTATGGGTGGTGGTTATTTCCCTCCCACCAGCCTCTTGTCCATGGTTCTGTTTGCTAGGGGGTATGTATGTTATCTCCTGTTTCCCCCTAGTTCCTCTGATTTACAGTTACGGTCCGATCCCCCCGTCTTCTGTGATCGTAGTCCACATGTTCCATCCCATTTTATGCTGTTCTCCCTCCCGTCCCTTTCTATGGGTATTGTCTCAATTTGTACTTCATTGGGTCCATCGCCATTCTCCCCCTCTGCGTTCCTGGGAGCAACCGCTTTGGGATGCACATGTGACGGTTCATCGTTGTTCAGTTCGTGATTGGTCGGTCTTCTGTTTGATGCATCTAGGTCTTCCGTCCTCATCTTTCACTGGGAGGTCTCTCTGTCATGTCGCCGGGTATGCTCTGTTCTGATTCTCTGTTCCCTTATTGGATCAGTCAGCATGGAGCTGTTCTCTCTTTCATAACCTGGCTCAATTGTCATCACACAGCTGTTCGTTCCATTGGTGGTTTGCTTGCAGGAAGAACCACCCCAAAGACAAGTAATACGCATTTCCCTACCATATATTAACAATGTGTCCGAGGCCACAGCCAGACTGTTGGCCCCCCACAACATAAGAGTGGCACATAAACCTGACCAGACTCTGCGATCAAAGATCATGTGCCCCAAAGACCCCCTCCCCACCGCAGAAAGATCAGCGGTGGTGTATAAAATTGATTGCATAGACTGCCACAGCAATTACGTGGGGGAAACATCGAAAAGATTGAAGACCCGCTTGCATGAGCACAAGACCTACATACCTATACCCATGAAAATCTACAAACACACACACACACACACAGAGATACATACATATATATATATATATATATATATATATATATATATATATATACATACATACATACATACATACATACATACACACATATATACACATATATATATGATAATGAAAATACTGGTGCATATTTTTGAACATTGTGATATCACATCCCTACTGGTGTTTTGGTCTTCACACTTCAATTCACCAACTTCTTTCATAAAAGGTATATCATTAATCACTGGGGTGGAAATGCCACAAATTAAGCTGTTTATGCATTTTTTTCTTAATGCAAAACACCCTCCATTATTCAAATGTTAATATTCAATTTGCAGCATGACCTTTCTCAGTATCATTCTGTCTTTAAAATAATAGGTTATTCTCCCACCCCTTCCCATATCTGATTGCATTTCTCAGTTCATTTGTAGAAATGATTGTAACATATTGTGAAATCCCTAATATCCAGCTAAATTCAGTAATTTGACTCTCTTAATAGTAATTAAAACAAAATGCAGAAACACAATTGTCTTTCTTTTTTTTAAAAAATGATCACCATTCATTGAATTGGGTTGACTTAAATATTGGACTTATACTGAGTTAATTTGTCTTCTATTACAGTCTTCATTTTAAAAAATCTGGTACTTGCAAAGATAAATTATTCTAGGGCAATGCAGCTAACTCTAGAGCTATAGAATGAAGTATAGTTACGATTATCCCTAACTATATAGTTAGCCTATAGGACTTTCTCTCTAGCCACTTATCTATAACTTAAAACTCATGTATTCAGACAGTGGTTGTAGCAGTTTCTGTTGTTATTTCTCATTATGGAACTTATAGAAAGGTGAGTGAATGTAACTGAAGATTTGGTAGATACATGGTTTTAAATCAAAGCATTAACAAGTGTAAATTATAGGGGTTTTCTCATGAGCTTATCTTGAGGGAAAGGCCAATGACACAATGACAGCATTATCATGCATACAGAAGATGCCAGATCAGTACCAATGTCTCTATGTTAGTCTGCAAACAGACTGAAATTCCTATTTAATAGTGAAGAGCTGCGCTGTGCAAACTTTTTGAAGCAAAAAGGGTCTTCAGATGGTATGCACAGTGTTCAAAGCCAGGATAAAGCCTAAACTAAATTAAACTAAAATGTAATTGAAAATTAACCTTTATGGTAAATTAAGTAAGGCTAATATTATTAAATTGGTTTTCTTAGTGTATCTTTTTCTGATCAAATAAAAATTACAGTTTGAGATAACTTTTAAAAATCATCTGGGAGCTGCCTATTCACAAACTTTAAATAACTGCATGGACTCCTAGGACTCCGACTATGTAGCTTTAATGTGGTTACTCAGTAATACAAGATGGCTTGTTGTCATGCTTACTGAAGAAAGCATTTGACATTCTGAATTGCTATCAATTTTAATTACATTTTAGCTGCTGAATCTGTTGGTTTTAATTGGAAGTATTTATAGGAAAACATTAGGAATAAAAACTTGTAAATAGTGACAGCAGTTCAAAACATGGGTATGGTGTTTGAGTGATGGAAACCTAGGTTGGAAGTGGGAACATCATGGGGGAAAGCATAGTCTAAACTAGTATAGGCTGAGGAGAAAAAACAGTGGGGTTTTTAAAGTGAGCCCTGAAAAATCAACAATGTGGTTGCTCATTAGAGAAACATCAAGAACATTGTTTTAAAAATCCCAATCATGATCCAATTTACAATGCTTAAAAAGAGAACAAAGAGAATGTGGTTTTTTTTTACCAATACAGTACAGTATTGTTTGTTAGTAACCCTCCCCATCAGATTTGGACCATCAGCTATATCTTAGGGAGCATTTCTAACTGCCTTAAGCTATACGGAAAGTAGGGAAAAAATACTTTTTATCCTGTAGTGACTGATTAACTACTAGGAAAATGTAATGTTTCAGAAATAAAGCATGGTCTTAAAGAAAAACATTTGGATCCCAGGGTACAAATTAGTAATAACCAGACCTTTATCTTGCCATCTCCCACAAATCAATATGAAAGATTCCAAAATGCTGAAAATCAGATATATTTATAGAGTTCTTCAAACAGAACAAACCTGTGATAAGATATTTGTGCAGGCAGACCTATAAGCTTTTGATTGATTATTTAATTATGTATCAGCAAGTCATTTTTTTTACTCTTAGTGATTACATAAATATGCTTTTGGAGAGAATAGATTATGAGTGTATTAATTGCAACGCCACTCTGACTACTTTCTACAGATCCTTCAGGTGTCCACATTCTTTGCAAATGTTTATATGTACAATTATTGGGCTCCATTTTGTCTAACAGTTTCTTTTTTAAAAATAAATCAGGCACTCTTTTGTAACCTCAACATACTTTTGCCATATTTTACTGCATAGAAAAATAAAGAAGAGCAAAAGGCTATACTTCTACATGTGAGAATATTAGTCTTCCCATCAGAGAAAACACTGCCACTGATTTATAAAGAGAAATATCAAATTACTTAGAACTATATCTGAAAAAAAAACTTAAGGATTTCCATCCATATCAGTCTTTGAGCAAAGTCAACAATTTTGAAAATTTCCAGTAGATGCATATGTGCGTAAGTGTGTTTGATATGGCAATGGTTACTTATTACCTTCCTTTTTTGTGTGCCTGAATCAATCTTGACTCCCAGTGACTGCCTGAATAGACCCCAGTTGCCTGGCATCAATTTCAAAAATGACTTACCAAGAGATTCTTCGTAGGGCTGAGAGAAAGTGACTGACCCAAGATCACTCATCTGGCTTCATGCTTAAGGCAGGACTAGAACTCACAAGTCTCTTGGTTTCTAGTCTGGTACCTTTAAGCAACATACCAGATTGGCTCTCATGTTATGCTCTCAGCAGAATCTTTCCTAAAAAGATATGAAATCTATTTCTGAAATTAGAATGTCATCATGATTTTCTCCATACTGCCCCTAATTTATATCAGGGCTACCAATTTTTAAACTGTCTTGAGTCTGAAGAAATAGATGGAATATCAAGCTAGATAATAAATAGATAAATAGAATTGTTGCATTCCCCCTAAACCAAATCCTTCCTACACTCCCACCCCCAGGGCCAGGCTACTCTACAAATGAAGCTTCTGTCCTAAAGGTTTTTCAATCCCAAGATTACAATATTCTACTTACCAGTTATTCAGAGAAAAATCCTTTAAAAAGACAAGGAACTTTTCTGAAGTATATAGCTGCCAGTTGCATGACAGAATTAAATGAATTGCAACAGGTAGCTGTAGCAGATCGAGCTGGGAAAACATAAACTAATGACAAAACTGAATTTGATAAGGCAGCACATTGCAGCACTCATCCACCTTGCCCCCTTTCCTCCGTGGCTCAAAACTAATGAATATTAGGAACCTCCCCCCTCCAAGTAAAAATCCTACTTATCTGAAGAAGGTGGAAGAGGGAGAGGCACAGAGCAGAGAGTATCAATTGCCCTGGTGCCAAAGTAAAGTTTTGCACGCAATTGAATGTGAAGGAAAAGCCAAGGACAGGAGGCTGTGCTGGATACTCACAGATTCAACAAAGGGGTATCTGCCTTCACTTGCCAGGATGATATTTCATCTTCTTCTGTCTTCTTTCATATAAGAAAAAAAGGAAAGGAATGCCTGAATCCACCGTCTTTTACATCAGACTGAGAAGCCTTTTTATCTCTTCAACTTTCCTTCTCCTTTCAGGCACCTGCTTATCTTTTTTTCCTTTGGCTGCTCCTCCTGGACTGACATACCGTCTCCTGGTCCCTTTGCTCCCACATCGACCTGCTTGCTTGCTGCCTGCCTTTAATACTCTCCCACTTGGTCTTCTCTAGTCACTGCAGGTAAGAAAGCTCTCTTCTAGCATCTAAGTAGAGTGGAGCCCAGCCCAGCTCTCCTTCTGCTGAATGAAGGGAGAGGGTGGGGGGAGGGGGGAGCTGCTTGTCTCACAGGGTTAGGCAGATCAAGATGTATGTCAGTTGCGCCTGGGAATGGTGCCACTAGCCAATTGGCATCGATTTAGAGGCAGCAAGGGGGAGGAAAAGGAGAGAGAGAGAGAGAGAGAGAGAGAGAGAGAGAGAGAGAGAGAGAGAGAGAGAGAGAGAGAGAGAGAGAGAGAGAGAGAGAGAGAGAGAGGGAGAGAGGGAGGGAGGGAGGGAGGGAGGGAGGGAGAAAGAGAGAGAGAGAGATTGGCAGAATGACAGAGGGATTATGATAGAAGGAAAGAGCATGGATGGGAGGAGGAAGAGGGGAAGTGAGGGGGTGTAAGGAGAAAAAAGGAAGCAGGAGGAGGTGTGCAATAGTGCAGTTATAACAGATGGTGACAGAGCAGGAAAGAGAGGAGAGAGGTAAGTGGAGGGGGAAGGGAAAAGGGAAAATATGGAAAGAAGCTCAGTGATGCTCCTGGAGTGTTGCTGAGAAGAAAGGTCGCTGGGCTAGAGCTAAGCTGGATTTCTTGCCTGGTGCCTATTGATTACTATTTGTGCTTTTTTTCATCCAAGATTTCTGTGAAGTTTTACGAACTTATACATTCAGAATTCCTTGCTGTAATGCCTGCCTGTCAGTGATGCCATTTATACCTCCACCATCCTACTTGTTAATTCATAAATATGCACTGGCCTTTCTTAATTTGATGTTATGCAACTTGTTTATATGTGCCTTCTGAGCCTGGGGGGATGGATAGCACTTTTGCAAGTGATCTTTAATGCAAGCGCTTTGTATTTCTAATCTCTCTAGCTGCAGTAATAAAAGTCATAATTGGTTCAAAAAGTAAATCCGGTATTTTAATTTGTTTTTTTCTCAATGTCCTCTTATATTTAATAAGCTATAAATTGATTGCTTTGGTTAATCTAACCAATGTTATTCTGCATTCTCTTTGCAGCAACAATATCCAGAGGAGATTCGTTCAAGACTAAGGATTATTCTTAAGATGCAAATGAAGAAAACATGTCATTAATGGTTCATTAGACATTCCATAATATTTAAGTTGACAGTTGTCAATATTTTAACATGCAGAAGTGCTATGATTGCTCTCTTTCCCCTTCTAGCTGACATGCTACATAAAAAAAAAAAAAACAGTTGTGTGATTGCTTCACATTTTCAGGGCAAAATCATATGTGAATAAATGTTGAATATTTTGGCTGCTTGTTTTTAGGATTATAAATTAAAATGTTCAAAGGCTTTTCCCTCATGTACAGAGTATGCTTTCATGAATGAACTATTAAAAATTGGACAGCATTTTGCACTTAGCAGACATATTTGTCTAACCACACTATGGATTTATAAACTGAGACATGTACAGTCTCTTCTGTCCTCCTTAATTTTATCATAATTTTGCATTACATCTGAAAAGAAATTATGCTTACCAGCTTTGGAACAGGTTTTGTCTTGAAAAACCATATTATACAATGGATTTAAGATTCAGAATTGTTCTAAAGCTGACAATCGGAGATCCCTAATTTGGACTAAAAAAGTAACCGTGGCAAATTGGAGATTTCCAGGTTCCCAAGGAAGGGAGGAGAGGAAAAGATCCAGATGAACATCTATCTGGCATTATCATCTGCGAGTTTATACATTTTGTCTCAGTCTTCACTTTCCAAGACAAAATTGCTAAGACTGATGGGACTTCTTTTTATTTTCCTAGCTGGTTTCCTCCATATACTAGTTTTTGCATGTGGTGAGTTTAGTGGTATTTGGTTGTAGGGAGAACCTTTAAGATTATAGATAGGTATATCATATCTGATTGCTCCAGAATGATAATCCTGATGACACAATCATGGCAATTACCCCTTTTCATTAAGGAGATGATAAAAACACTTTGATTCAATGTAGAAATTTTAGGATCATTATTATTTTAATTTGATGTAGTGTCTTGCCAGGAATCTGGGCACTGTATTTTGTACCAGCTGTAGCTTCTAATTGTCTCCAAAGGTTACTCCTTGCAAGTACATTGCAATACTCCAGCTGAATTGTGGTCCAGGTACATATTACTATTGCAGCGGATATTGGTTCAGATAGCCAATCCTGATTTCCATCTGCTGTTTAAGCAGGAACTTTCAGACCTGCTTCTGAACAGAACTTTCAGGAAAAATCTTATCAACTCCTTCAGGAGGGAACATAGTTTCTGTTGTGTCCTGAGCCTGGGAGGAATGCCCGGGACATTGCATTGGTCCCGGGCATTCCAAAAGCTGCCCGGGACTAGACAGAGCGGCACCAGCCTTGTGCGCATGTGGAAGGTGTGAAAATGCTCTGTTCCTATTGGTTGACACTGTCTGGGCTTCTGGCCATATAAAAAGGCCTGCGTGCCTTTTGCTTTTGCTTGGTTGTTGTAGAAGGAGAATAAAGTGTTTGTTCAGCATCGCCATGTGTCTTCATCATTCGCACACGAACGAAGTATACAACACTGGCGACGAAGGTGGGATCCTTTGCAAGCTGAAACAAAAGATTTAAGGACTTACCCAGGAAGTCCTGAAGAGGGGAAGACGGTGTCTGAAACAGCATCCCAGCCTGCCAGTACAGCATCACTGGAGGGTGAGCTCGGCTAAAGGACCCTTTCCCCAAACAACAGCTTGCAGAGGCAGCGAGTGGTGAAGGTTGTAAAGTTTACGATGTCGAAGATTGGCCGCTTGACTGATTTCGATGGCTCCCACCCAGAGAGATGGAATTCCTACGTAGCACAGGTGGAGAACTACTTCAGAGTAAATCAGATTAGAGAAGACAGCCTGAAGGCAGCAACTCTTTTGTGTGCCTGTGGACAAGAAGCTTTTGACATTGCAGAAAATCTGGTGGCCCCTGCACCTCTGGAGTCAGTAACATAGGCTGACTTGAAGAAAATGTTGAAGGAACATTTCCAGCCAAAGGTATCCATCATTGTTTGGAGGCATGCATTCGAGCAGAGAGACCAGAGGCTGGGTGAATCTGCTGCAGACTTTATTGTGGCCTTAAGGCAAGCAGCCAGACCTTGTGAGTTCAAGGATCTGGAAAAGAGACTGCGAGATCATTTTGTCTGTGGCTTAAGGAGCAGAAACTTACAACAAAAGATTTTTGCAAAAGAAGATGTCTCCTTCCAAGATGCATTGTGAGAGGTGGCAGCTGAAGAAGCAGCAGGCGGGGCTGTGAAGGCCTTGTGCCTCGCCAGGAATCCTCCAGACACAGCTACCATCCATCAAGAGGACGCTTGGGAAGGATCAGAAGTGGATCCTGAAAAGGAGGTCGACAGACTTCACCAGCCAGCTGAGAGGAGGCAGAAGGGATGTCTGGTCAAGGCCCCAGCATCTCTTCAATGCTTTGAGTGCGGAGGATGCCACAAGCGAGCTGACTGCAGGTTTCGCTCCACCATTTGCAGGGCGTGTGGCAGGCAGAGCCACATTGCATCCATCTGTTTGGCTCACCAGAAGGTTCAACCTCAGGAAGAATTGCTTCAGAAAGGTACTAGGGTCCCCAGCCAAAACAGGGTGGGTTTCGGCACATCGCGCAGGAGCATTCTAAGAACAGGGACACACAAGCCCCTTAAGAAGAAACTTTCCATTAACGTAAGGTTGCAAGGGGTTCCCTTACTGATGGAGTTGGACACAGGGTCCATTCTTTCCATTATTTCAATTAATACCTTTAAAAGGATTTGCACCAGTAGTGGCCTTCGAATTAAACTCAGGCCACCGAATCTAATACTCACTGATTCTCAAAATTCTATGGTGTGTGTTAAGGGGGAGGCCACCCTTAGGGTACAGTATAAGGATTTTGAAGGTTCCCTAGATGTGGTGGTTATTGGGGGTGAAAGTACGAGTCTTATTGGACTCAATTGGTTTGAGGCTCTGGGAATCCAGGTAACTGGGCTGCACAGCTTGCAAACGCTGGGCCTTGCAGAGGTTTGCAAGGAGTTTGCAGATGTGTTTAGTTCAGAGCTAGGATCCTACAAGGGGCCTCCCATTTCACTATGGTTAGACCCAACCATCACGCCCATCAGGGTTAAGCCTAGGAGGGTACCTTTTACCCTCAAAGGTAAGATTGATGCTGAGCTGGACAAATTGCTCCAGCAGGGCATTCTAGAACCTGTGGATTCTAGTCCATGGAAAACCCCCATAGTTACGCCTCTAAAGGCTAATGGGGACATATGTATATGTGCAGACTATAAGTGCACACTGAATAAAGCGCTGCAACAGCACGCTTATCCAGTGCCTGTGATAAGTCACATTCTGGCCTCCCTCAAGGGGGGGGTGCATTTTTACGAAGCTTGACTTGGCACAGGCCCATCAACAGCTAGCTGTTGATGAGACAGCTGCAGAGGCCCAGACTATTGTAACTCACAGGGTGGCCTTCAAGATCAAGAGACTGCAATTTGGGGTAAATGTAGCCCCTGGCATATTCCAATGTGTCATGGAGAGCACACTTCGAGGTATTCCTGGGGTCTGTCCCTACTTCGATGACATTGCTGGGGAGTCATCTCAAAATTTAGCAGAAAGATTAAGGGCTGTCTTGCTTCATTTTCAAAAAGCAGGCCTTAAACTAAAGAAGGATAAATGTAAGATAGGAGTCACTTCTACTGACTTCTTAGGATTCAGGATTGAGGCTCAAGGCATTCACCCTACTGAAACTAAATTGCAAGCTATCCAGCCCTAAGTCTAAGAGTGAGCTGCAAGCCTTCTTGGGGCTATTAAATTTTTACCATGCATTTATCCCACATAAAGCTGCAGTGGCAGAGCCATTACACAGGCTCTTAGACAAGCAGGCTCCTTGGCAGTGGACTAAAGTCCATGACAAGAGCTTCAATGAGGTTGCTCACTTCTAATGCTGTTTTAGTGCATTTCAATGAGCAACTGCCTGTTTGCATCGCATGCGATGCATCTCCTTATGGGGTGGGAGCTGTACTTAGCTATCTGAAGGCTGATGGGACACAGGTCCCTGTGGCCTATTACTTAAGGACTCTGTCTTCTGCAGAGCGGAATTACGCTCAAATTGATAGAGAAGTCTTGGCCATAGTGGCTGGCATTAAGAAATTTCATGATTTCTTATATGGCCGCCATTTCACGGTCTATACTGATCATAAGCGTCTGCTGGGTTTGTTTACCACTAACAAGCAGACCCCACATATCATTTCTCCTCGTATGCTGAAATGGTCCATTTTCCTGTCAGCATATGACTACACATTAGTTCACAAACCAGGAAAAGAAATGGGTCATGCAGATGGCCTGAGCAGATTACCCCTGAACCAATTAGAGCCAGATCCTGCTCCAGCCATTAATATTCTTTCCATTCAGGAGTTGCCTGAGTCTCCCCTCAATGCTAGGGACATGGCTGCAGAAACTGCCACTGATCACACGCTTACACCCGTGTTGACATGGGTGTTGTCAGGATGGCCTGACAAGTGCCCAGATACTGAGTTCCAAAGCTTCTGGCACAAGAAGCATGAGTTTTCCACTTTCAAGGGTTGCCTGTTATGGGGTAACAGGGTAGTGATCCCAGCCTCATTGAGGTCTAGAATATTGACCTCTCTGCATGAGGGACATCCTGGTATAGTCAGGATGAAAGTGCTTGCGTGCAGCCATCTTTGGTGGCCTGGGCTCGATAAAGCCATCGAGCACCAGGTGCACGGGTGCCAAGTGTGCCAACAGTCTCGGCCTGAAATGCCTCAAACCCCAGTACATAGGTGGGAGGAAACTCAAACCCCATGGTCTAGGGTGCATATAGATTATGCTGGGCCCTTTCAGGAGCAATTCTTCCTGGTTGTTGTTGATAGCCATTCCAAGTGGCTAGAGGTTGTTCCTGTTTCCTCCACTACTACTGCCAGGACCTTCCAGGTGTTGAGAGGAATTTTTGCATCACACAGTCTTCCAGATGTTCTGGTTTCAGATAATGGCCCTCAATTTACCTCTTCTGAGTTCCAGGCTTTTCTTCAGGCCAACCTGATCCGGCATGCAACATCGGCTCCCTTCCATCCATCCTTCAATGGACTGGCAGAGAGAATGGTGCGCACCACCAAAGGTGCCCTCAAGAAACTGATTTACGGTAACTGGCATCACAGGTTAGCAGATTTCCTTCTTGCACACAGCACCACATCATGCACAGCCACAGGGAAGAGCCCTGCTGAACTCTGCTGGGGTCGCCGCCTCATCACTAAACTGGACAGGCTGCACCCTGACCGGGTGGCTTCACAGGTGTCACAACCGCGAGCACTTAGGAGACTCCAGGTGGGCGATCCGGTTTGGGCAAGAAACTATGAGCCTGCACATCTCTGGGTCACAGCTGTGATCTGCAAGGTCTCTGGGCTGTTGTCATACAAAGTTGCCTTGGGGCTGCGTTCTTCGCAGACACATAGACCAACTGCGTTGGAGACTGGACTCCCACCCTTCTGATCCTGGCTCTGGGTCACAGTTTCCCAGGCCTAACAGGCCCTCATTAGCTGCTACTGAGGCTGTTTGGGATTCATTCCAAGGTTCCGCAAGTGCTCCAAACAGGAATTTACTGGATAGGGATAATTACTCCAGACAGGGAGTCACACTGGGGGTATCCACAGTATTCACATATGTCAGGTAGTGCTTCAGACAGGAAGAGTGACGGGTGGTATCCACACAAATCACAAGCAGCAAGAGAAAAGGAATTCCATCAGGGGCGCTTGCCTAATTCCACAATTGCTCCCAAAAGGAAGTCACCAGCAAAGGGGGTTGCCATGGAGGTGACTCCTGACTCTGGCACCTCGGGCACGTGCTTGGGGGCCACAGAGTACTGGTGCACTTCCGCTACTCAGCCCTCTCCATCTGCTGGCCTTGGGCTCAAGGGACAGTGTTCCCAAGAGGGGTCCATTGTGGACTTGGGGACTTCCACCCCTCCAAGGTATTCTGGCTTGGACTTAGAGGGTCCAGCCAGCCAGCAGCTGGACAGGTCAACCGGCACCCTCACCGGGGTCACCTGGGGATTTAGGGCAGCAACGTCTTGGCCTGCCTAACCTGGTAGGCGAGCAGGTGGGCCAGGCAATCTCTCCGGGCCTTAGAAGGTTGCAGCGGGCCAAGTGCCCACCCAAACATCTGAGAGACTTTGTGAGGTTGCTGTCAAATCATGAGGGACCTGCTCATGAGGCCCCTGAATAAGAAGAGTAACTCGTGGGTAGATTATTTTATATTATTTTTGATTTTGGATACATTTATTTGTATTAATAAATACTGAAGGGGGTTTGCCTGAGGGCAGACTCGAGATTCCACACTCTTTGCATTTGAATAATGCAACTCTTCC